TTATTTTTTTGCCTTTTTTTTTTTTTTTTTTTTTGAACATTGTCTTTTTCTCAATTCAGTGTGATTTGTTCACACTCCGAGTAAGACTGAGAAAAGAATATCAGGGGCTTTTATTTCTTTTGCATTTGGTTTTGTTTCGGTGGGGTTATCTTTGATTTCTTTTCTTTCTAAGCTGGGACACAACTCTGAAAAGCCCACTCCTATCTTTGCTTTCCATGCAAAGATAAAAGCTTAAAATTGATGGCTTGATGCCCTCCATTCCAGCTAGAGGAAAACTGGCTGTTAGGCTCCAGCAAATGGCCAGTTTTCTTCCTTCAGGAACTAAGGTCCCATCCTGTTGGCCACACTCACGCCTGCAAAGTACCACATTAATGAACCACTAATTGCCATTTACAGGAGCAATGATCCTCAAAGTGAGGACCATGACTGCACTCACTGCCTGCTCCACTCTATTGCCCATCAGATCCCTGGCTCCACTTGGGCACTGATCTCCATGCAATACATGAGCTGCTGGTAGTGACCCGTTAGTGGAAGGATCGTTGCCTCATTAAGTGGAAGTATTTACCTCATATCTACCTAAGCTGCAGAGGAGCAGAGAACTTGCCTTTCAGGAAAGATCTGGATGTGACCTGAGAAGTTTAGCTGAATGACCATGATTACGTGTCCTAAATGAGGGAGCAGTTTGCTCTGCACAGCACCCAAGGTTCAGCAGAGGTGTATCAGTGTCAGCAGGCTCTGGAGTGAGTAGCTAAATTCTCCAGGTCTCTCTCTCTCTTTTTCTCCCTCTGGAGATTCATAGCTCTGTTTTCAAAAACATTTCCTACAATTTCAGCCTTAAGTACCTTTGTTTGCAAGCACAGAAGCTCATGTTTAAGCTTGTAAAACAAATAGTTGTGCACTAGAATGATTATTTTTTTTCCTAGGGCGAATGAAACTCTTAAGCAGATTTAGAAGATAAACTTAAAAACTTTGCAGAGCTGCTCTGCAAGGTCCTTTGAAAACATGGGATAAAATGATGATTGATCACAGTATTTATCATTTTCTTTTGAATCTGATACACTACAGAAGCACTCCAGGCTATTTTTTTTCCTCCCCTAAGAAATACAAGCAAATGGAAGAGCAGACTGTGTGATTTCAGTATTTCCATGAAGCCTGTTTTGTATCAGGACATATTACAAAGTAGTAGCTATATTTATTTATTTTTTTAAGTAAAAAAATAATCTCAGCACTTTTCAGTTATCTAGAAACTATCAATAAACAGCAAAGCCAGGTTGGTGTTTTGGAGAGGAAGACTAGCCCCCCCTGTGACAGGCAACAGTGAAACACTGGGAATCCCAAACAGGAGGCAACCCAATTTTGTATCAGAACTTATTTTTATGCTGTTTTGTATCTTTGCATTTTTATGGTCAGATTTGAATACTGAATATGTAGCAAATATTATTTTGTTTCTTTAAGAGAATGGGTATTTAAAGAAGTGAGTAAGATGGGTTCTCAGAGGTTAACTGAAATGTTTTATGATTTCTGAATGGCTGGAGAGATGCAGAGAGAGAGAGAGAGAGAGAGAAAGAGAAGGAGAGAGAGATTACAGACTGTTGTCAACATGATGAAAGTTTCACTTATTCCTTTGCCTTTTTAATTGCTTAGGGACAAAAGTAACAAGCACATTAGTTAAGCCTGTTCATTTACTGTTTTGTGCCTCAGAGAGTGAGAATGAGACATCCATAATTTTTATGAGAAGATGCTTCCTAAATATTCAGCACTAGGAAAAAAGCAACACCACCGCCACACCATTATTTGCATCATAAATCAAGACTCGCTTGATCTGACAAGGCCCCTTGTTGGACTCCAGCTTCTTTGTTAACTGGAAGGCCAGACCAGACTAGTGCTGCTGGTGCTTGCCGGAGCCGGGCGGCAGGCGAGGCAGCTGCAGGCCTTTGCTCTGGAGGGAAGAGGGGCTTGGCTCTCAGGCATGGCATTGGAGAAAGCTCTTCCCCTCCAAAAATTGCCAAGGTGCTGCAAGAGATGGAGCGCTATCGCAAAGAAGAACCAGCACTTGGGTCCCACTTTTATTGCCCACTGTGGCTTTCCTAATAGGGAGCAGGGCTGGGCCGCCTCGTGTGTCCGAAAGCGCTGGAAGCAGTGCAGGTGCAATCAGATTGGGGTGATTTTGACTGAGCATCTGATACAGACTTTCATTTCAATGCCAGACAGGAGGAACCCTCTTAACCATTCCATATGCAGAAACGAGAGTTGTAACAAACTTACATGTTTACGGGATTTCTCTGGCTGAATCTATATATATATATAAAAAATACAAATACCCTCTTCCCTAGGTGAATGACATGCATTACCCTTTGACCTAGACACTAGGATCTAAATTCAAGACTTTTGCCTCCCCACCCTCTCCAAAAAGATCAAACAAGAACCAACCTAGGTGCATCTAACAGTTGTAAATAGAAAATACTACATAGAGAAATATATTTGAAATTTGTTTCAGTTTCTGGATGGTCACTGGCCATCCTTTGCAATGTTATTGATAGTACACTGTGGTGCTTTGGGTTTCTGGTTTTGTTCTCTTTATGCTCTGTCATCTTTTCATTGCAGCTACATTTCAGGGAACATGTATATTTAGTAGCTATTGTAAGTTCTGCATGGCATCACCAAGCTTATTTTTCCTTAAGAAGAAAAGAAGAGTCTGTAGGAGTTTAAAGGCACTATGACGACAGGGACTTGTAGCAGAGAATTTAAAAAAAAAAAAAAGTTTTTAAAATTCTAGTTTGAAGCCAAATACTGATATTTTAGTGCTTTTGGGGTTTTAACAGTAAGAGAAAAAAAAAAAAAAAAAAAAAGGATTTTGGTAACCCAGCTGATCCGCACTTGCCAGTTTTATTATTTTGTTTATATTGGACTGTTTGACCCTGTCAAACAAGTGTCAAAGTTGTGTGTATAAAACAAAAAAAAGTGTTTAAAAAAGTGTTGTAAAGACACTGAGCCTTATGAAAATATTTATGGAATTAAATAAAAAGAAGTGAAAAGGCATCTGAAGGCATTTAAATGGTTTTCCTCAGAGCGGTCTCACTCCTTTCCTAAAGGCTGAGCACGCATCACTGGGGTGGGGCTCCAGCTTGTCAGCAGAGCAGACACAAAGACATTTGTGTGTAACCAAAAAAATAGGTTTGTTCTGGAAATATCCCACCTCCCCTTTGCTTTGTGTCCTCCATCTGAACTGAGTGAAATGATTAACGAGTAGCCGGAGGTTCACCAATGACAAATACTGCCTTGCAAGTGCGGGCAGGGGTTGCTCCAAGCGGAGCTCGGATCAAGTCTGCTGCGAAACATGGTTTTAAAAGGCTTTGTTACTGAACTTTGCTCAGCTCCAACCCCAGCTTGAAGACAGCTGAACCCTCCAGACAGACATCTGATTACAAGTACGTTGTGAGCAACATAAGCATTTCAGAGCACCTGGGAGTAGAGCAGGGGGTGGGTTGCCGTGGGGAGGGGGGCTTGGCCACACGCTGCTCCCTGTGAAGGGCTGGGCTAGAGATGAGCAGGGTCCTTCCCTGGTTTTCCTTTGGCACAGAGGGAGCAAGTTCCCACAGGGAGAAGAAACAGGGTGCATTGCTCCTGAGGGCAGAGTGCTCTCCAGAACCCCAGAAGCATTTCGCAGGTAAGACAGTTGTGTATTTCTAGTTAGCCCATAAATAGAGTCACAGCTGGAACTGGGGCTGTCCCACCGTGGCACCCAGAGCTGCTAGTGGCTGGGAGAGATGCCTGTCACTTTGTGGAGGAACAGCCAGACACATGTAATTAATTGTGGCCACAGAGCTCCCTTGTCAGTCATGACACTGACTTTTTGCTCTTTCCTACCTGTGATGGCCACTTCACTGGCAGATGGACTGACCAAGTATTCAGCCCACATACACTAGCAAACCAGTCAGAGAAGGGAATAAATAGATGCAAACCGAAAGCAGCTTTGCTGGGGGAGAAGGGCAGAGACATAGGACAGAGGCAGAGCTGTGAGCATGAAGACTCCTCTGGGGCCAGAGTTTGAGGAGGTTCGGGAACAGGCTCACCCAGGCCTCAATCACAGCTTCACATTTGCCTCCTGCTTCAGCAATACCCCAAGCCAAGCTTTTCTTCTCTTGCTTACATTATTGCTTGTAACGAAGGGGACAGTGGTGCTGTGCTGGGGCTCACCTGGACCAGTGATCCTGTGTCTCGTACCGCTCAGCTGAAGTCACTCGGGAGGGGTGGCACAGCGCCGGCTCCAAAGCACACTGCTGGGGAGAGCAGACCCAAAATGCTGTTACAGACCAACACTCCTTTTGAAGAACACCCTGCAGGCCAAAAAAAGGGGTTTTTGCCAGAATTCTGCACTCCCTTCTCTGTGGGGAAGGAGGGGGGTGGTCATCGGGAGAGGGGGGGGATGAGCCACAGGCATTGTCAAAGAAGCATCATGTACCAGCAAAAAACCCAAAAAACCCCAGTCACCCAGCATGTGGGCTGGGAGTCAGCACCACCAAAGCTTCCTCAGAAGCAATACATGACCTCCGTGCCCCTGCAGCACATGCCCACCCTGCCTTGCTTTCCTGGCATGGCCAGAGAGAAGCGCGCACCGCAGCTGGGAACGCCGCTGCAGCCTCTCCTTGACTTAGGTATTTCATTTAGTGACACCATTGACTTGTTTTTAGCTTTCTCCAGCCACCCACCATTCAGCCAGCTACTATGAACTTTGGTTGCATAAAACAAAAACCAAAACCAAAGAAACCCAGCTTAAAGTTAATTTGTCTTTGGGGGTTGCTAAGTTTGTTAGGCCATTTCTAGAGCACAGACTAAACCGTCTCTCCCAGGACAGATGTGGCCAGCTGATCTCCAAGACCTGGACTCAGAAATTCACTGAAACGTGCCTAAGCACCATTTTGCACCAAAGCTTTTATTGCCTATGTGTAAAAAGTACAGAATTCAGGCCTCACAATGAACAATGAAATGACCTTAAGATGAACATTTACCTTGATTCTGCCTGTTCTGGGTGGGCTATTCCCTGCTGGTGCAGCTTCCGAGCAGTGTGGCCGAGGGCACCTTGTTGTGTGGGCACAGTCAGGCCTCAGCTCTGCTTGGGAACTGTAACAGAACGAGTAAAGCTTTTAGGCTTGGATGTTTGTAACATGACAGGAATGTTGTAGGAACAACTGCATGGCAAAGCCATCTCTGTTTTATCCATGCATGTATATATTTGTGATATTACAGCTGAGCTTTTCCTTTTTAAGAAATTAGATTTTCAGTCTGACTGATGGTGCTGGGATTACAAATCCCAATCTACCCCAAATGATAATTTTTCTTGTTATTCTGTAGCTAAAAAGCAGCACCAGGTTTTACCCAAAGTACAGCAGCAGATCAGCATCCTCTAAAGCATGTAATGCACCATCTGTGCTGGGTTATTCCTGAACAAACTGGAATTGCACGTTTCTGGGGATGCAGTGGGAATAACTGGCATTTTAGAGAGTGTTTCTAAGCCCTGCCCACAGAGGGTTACACAATCCCTCACTGCTAAGGGAGGACATTAGGTGTTTAACTGCAAAGATAATCTCCCCAAAACTGCAGGTACAAATTGTAAAATTGTCTAAATCTCTTACCTTTGTTGCAGAAAAGAGGCATATAGTATTTCTTAAATGCTTTTAATGTTCACATCCCTTTTTTTTTTCCAGCTCTCTCCAGTCAAAATGTATCCTGGTGAAGATTTGCACCTTCTCATTTCTGAGCCACAGTAATTTGTTACCTCTTGCAGGTCTGACAGGGTCTCTGTGCTCAGCCCTTTCCACAGGCCACGCCGTGCAGCAGCAATGGCTCAAAATTGTTTCCCTGTTCCAAAAGCCCCCACCTTCCCCTGGCTCATTTCCAAACCTCCCTCCAGCACCTCTTCTGTCCACACACCAGCCAAAGCCAGGCAGGTGACCCGAGCACTGTCTGAGGGACACAGAGCACCTTCCTCCTCTTTCAGTATCGTTTACAGCAGCAACAAAAAATCTCCAAGAGAGGAACATTTATTTTTTTTAAAAATTCATTTAGGAGAATATACAAAAAATTTAAATCCTTGCAGAAACACTTGTCTCCTAAAGAAAACAACAGTGCTTGAAAAAGTGCTCTGGTCTGGGGCATCTTGTTGAGCCTGGCTCACTGCTGGCTGCCTGTGCAGCTCCCAGCAGGGGCCAAGAGCTGATAAGCACATTTTGAGCAGAGACAAGGGCTGCACACACAGGTCTTTGTATAGACACACACTTTCTTGCCCTGTTGCTGTGATAGCAGAGAGCAACAACATACACAGCTAGAGCCTGCCTGGCTTTTATATCCATTGTACAGCTGGAGGGGAAAACACGCTTTTTTTTTTTCCAGGATCTAGGTTTTTCAGAATAAGCCATGGTACTAAACTGGCTCATAAATAACCTCAGAGAATCCAGATGCCAAGAGAACTCGGTGGTATCTTGCTGGCTGGTCCTGGAAGTCAACTTTATTCTTTTTTTTTTTCCCCATCTGGAGAAGCATTAAGATGATATATTGATACATTTGCTTCTCTTTTTAGTTCACTTCTGCCAAAGCTGTGAAGCTGTTATTCATGAAGCAACTACTCACAGGGGGTGTGTGATTGCAGTCAAGCTTTTCCAGGTCCATAGGAAATCAGGAAGGAGGTGGCACAGTTTGCCCCAGGTGGTGATGCCAAGCAAGTAACAGACATCATCCCTGCCAGCAGGGCCAGGGCTCCTCTTGCCTGTACAAAAGTAATCAGAGTCTCCTTTGAATCTTTGAATTGAATTACAGTTCTCTAGAACTTTAACTGAGGGGGGAGAAAAATAAGAAAAAAAAAAATAAAAAATCCCTCATGACTGTTTCCTGAACTGGTATAAATCAGACCAAGCCCAGTGACCTACCAAAGGTTTACTACAGGTGTAACTGAAAGCAGTACTTGATCCACAGGTTTAGTGACTGAACTGATCTAGGCAAGAAATGCTTGGAAATCATTTGGCTCAGCCACTTCAGAGGAGATACCTCTTCACCTGAAAGACAGCAATTTTAAAGGCAGGTTTTATATAGGTTGGGTTGATACTATATCACATTTACTGTGAAACACTGCAGAAGTGTGAAGAAAGCAGCAGGTTTGAACAAAGAAGTAATTTATAGCTACGGAAGTGACTGGT